AAATTATTTGACTTCTAAGTCTCTTCTACACCATTAAATTTATTTAAGTAGGATAAAATTCCAACCCTCAGCTTCCCAGACACTTTGTTTTTATGAAAATTCAGTTCTTCCTCACTCTATTCCAAACAAATACAGTGTTAGGGCTACAGAGCTCCCAGAATCTATTTTTTATATTGTCAACCCACCTTCTCGGTCATGAGTAATTAGTCTCTTTCAAATTGTTGGCATTGGTGTTGAGAGAGAAAAATCATTGTCTCACAGGGAACTGGACCTGAGAACACACATGCTTGAAGCTGTCAGCTAAAATCATGTCCCTCCATGTGGCTGAGGAAGCAGAGAACACCAGTTTGTACAGTAATCATAAGATGACATACGTCTTACTTTGCCTGAGACGTTGCCTGCTTATATATGTTGCCTCAGTATAACTTATGTGTCTTCTCTCAAAATGTCCTGATTTGGAAGCTAACTTATGTGGTTACCTTAATCACTCAAGACTCTTTAATGGCAAATAAGAAGCTCGACTTGGTTAGCAGCCACCTAGATATCTAAGTACCATCTTCCAAGGTAAGAGACACAGCTTTCAAGCATTTGGAAAGAGTGGAGGGAGGGCATTTGCCTCTATGTGGAAGGCTCCTATATCTCATCTTTGGTAAGAGGTAAGCTCCCTTTTTGAGTTTGGTTCTCCCATAAGTGTTGCTGTATAGGCCCTTGCTGTTACTGGTGATATGCAGAGTAGCTCACCCTAACATGTTGACTCTAGATATGGTTGCTACAAAGCTATTCTACCCCATCCTCTGGTCATAGACTTTACAAACATGCAGGTTAAGCTGTCTTCATGTGTGATGCTGATAAGAGGCTATGTGTGTCACTGGGATTTTTACTCCCAATTCATGCATTCATTCCCTATTCCAAATAAAGTCAATTGCAAAAGGAAGAATGAAGCAGATGGACAAGCAGTAGAGCAGAGAGAGAAGATACCTTGGGCTTCTTGTGCTCCAATCCCTATGGAGGCTGCCTCTGAGGTGTATTCTTGCCTATAGGTTCCATAATATGCCACAATTTCTTCAAAATTATAATACCTTTATGCTCAAACTATCTCTAAAATCTTTCTGTAATTTGCAGTCCTTAAATTCCTAGTGCAACTCAGAATCTAAACACAAAGTCAGCAGGTTTAATTTTCATCTGTGATTAAATAAATACCTGGAATTCATTTATTTATGCTTTCACTTTATGAATATCAAATTCTCAGTGTATGCTACTCACTGTGCTAGCTTCAAGGAATACAGTGAGTAAGAGAGACATATTCCTACCTCCCTGAAACCATTAAACCTTTAATTATAGGTGTGAGATCCTTCCTATTCTGCATCAAAAAACTGATCAAACAATCCACCAATATATTCAGAACCTTGTTTATGGGTCCTGGGTTTTCATAGCTGTGAAGTCACTACGATGAAAATTCTTTGCTTAAGAATGGGGTTCAGTCTAAAAAGGACACATTTGGAAAAATATGAAAGGGTATTTTTTTTACCAAAAAATACATGTATAAATATTATACATATCTAAGATGTAAGGTATTGTAAGAAAGAGTGGTTACTTTTTAAAAGTATGCTTTTTCGTTTCATTAGCTTTTACATCCTGCTATGGACATGTCTTTGAAATGAACTTTATGTGGTTGTTGGGTGGACTAGAAAGGAAAAGACAATTCTGCTATGTTAGCCAAATCTCTATAGAGAAAGCATTTATTCTCAATTAGGGCAGGGGAGATTGTTCCAAGCCCAGAAAGAAGCCTGAGAGGTGATTTGGAGGCAAGGGATCATTGAAATCATTTTCTCAGGCTGAGCGGGTGAGGCAAATGAGGAAAAAGACTGATTGCTTCTAGTGTTCCTCTTTTATGGGAACAAAGTATTGCGTCTTTGATGTTTATTAATTTATCATCACTAAATGGAATTCCTAAGTACAGAACAATCTGTGGGTTTTCCTTGTTGTGTGCACATTAAGACCGCAGATGAGGCAGAACAAGAATTGGAGTCACACCAGCACTACTCAGGCCCTGCAGGGACCTTCTGAGAACAACTGGGGCTTGGTTTAGGGCTTCTAGGAATGCCGATGGAAGATCTTCCAAGTGTATCAAGGAGTGGGGCTAGCAGAGTTTTGACGACTGTAGGCCAGTCTTTGGGGTTCTAAATAGGCAACATTATGCTGCAGATGACTCAGAAAACTTGAAACTACACTTGGCCGCCTCCTAAGTTCACTTAAGGTGCTGTTCTTCCCCCATGGATCTGTCCATCGTCCCCTCTGCAGGTAGTGAGGTGAAGGAGACAGGTGTGTTCCTTCCGAAGCTGTCCACAGGGATAGGAGGTCCGTATGGAACCAGCTGACAATTCTTCTAATGATATTAGTACCCATGGAGAGTTCAATGGTGCTGCTCACTGTTCCAGTGCTTTTCATGCACCATTCATTTAATTCTCATAAACACATGTGACAGATACTATAATAATATCCATTTATAGATGAGTAAACAAAAGCAGGGAGAGTTAAATTAGCTTGCCCAAGCTCACAGACAGAAGTGATAAAGCTAGAATTTGAACTCGGGCCCTTGGGCTGCAGAGTGCATGCTTTGAACAATTCTTTCTGCCTCTCCTTAATAGTGGCTGGTTGGGTGACAGCCGGCACTTGACCCACAGTAGGTGTTCAATGAGCATTTATTAACTAATGGACCATTGGGCTCATAGGGAGCTCTTCTTGATTTGCTAAATGGTGAGCTAACCCTAAAATGTGCAGTCAGATGGTGCATATGTAGAAGGCTGGCCCTCCACTTTTCCCTCTGTGTTTTGTCTATTGGAGGTGGAAGCCCGTGGATCCAGGGAAATGTTGTTAATCTTAGCACTAAAAAGTTCTCTCTGGGTCACCTATTCCTTGAAATATAAAAGTTTAGAATCCTCTCCACATAAAAATACGCACAATTAAAAAAATATATATATATTTTTGGCATGATGTTTGGGGTTGTTTAGATCTCTAGAAACTCCCAGACTAACAACAGTAGTTTTTGAGAGTGACTCGTAACTTTGAATGTTGATATATCTTCCAGTTGCAAGTGAGTTATATGAGTGCTTAATTCAGGTAAGTTGTGTTCAGGCCTTACTGAGGGAGTGGCTTGTCTCCTCTGCTTCGGGGAAAGCTCCTGTCGGTGCTGCCGCTGGCCGTGGTCGCCGGCTGGCCGGGCAGCCTGTGCGGTCCATGGCGGGGCTCCAGGGGCGCAGAATGCTCCGCTGGGGAGCGGATGTGTGAGCTCCAGGTTTCTGACATGAGCATTACTGATGACGCCCCTGCTGAAAGACCTCATTATTATCATGGTAAATACCGGGGGAACAAAGGGACCATTCTCAGAACAGAGGGCTATCTGTTATTGTTAATTGGATACTTTTGATTATGGTATAAAGTTGGCCAGAGTATTGCAGCATGTCATCTTGGGCATGAGTTCATTTGGGCAGCTTCTCTTAGCATGGGAACCAAGTAGCACATGCCCACTCACTCACAAGCCTCCTTTATCTGAGTTGGGAACAACAGCTGCAAATGAGCCATCTATTTGAAGATTCCACAGTTTGGGGGGGTGGAGGTGAAGAGTATGGGAAAAATGACTTGAATTTTGGTATCTTTTTCACATTTAAGATTCTCTGGAAAGGAATATAATTTGAATTAACACGCGGTCTTCCATGAGGTTGTGGAAGTATAAACATGATCTACTGCTGGAACTGATGTGTTTCAGTTCTCAGCCAAAGACTAGAAGTCTGATAACTTTGGGGAGGGGGGTGGTTACATTATCTCTGTGAAAACATACCGCATACTTGAGCGCAATGAGGAGCCGTAGGATGAGTGAAACAACAGTGGATGGAGAGATGACTTGGATTCACTTTTAGTTCTGCCATTAACAACCAATGTGATCTTCAACAGAAAACTACCACCCCGAGCCTTAGCCTTGAAGAAAGGGGTTGAGTTGTAAGGCCCTTGTGAGCTCTGAAATACTATGATTTTATGAAAAGACAAGATTTCAGGTTTGTTTTTTTTTTCATTTTTGAGTTGCTGCAGAGCACTTGAATTGCACAATTGAACTCCCCAAAATCTATGTTTTGTGTTCCATTAGTGAAGGCATGGGGATTCCAAATGCATCACAACATCTTGGACACACTTAGGGATTATTCTCCTGAGAAATGAACCCAATGATTAGAATTCACTTTCCAATTTCTCTGAATTTTACTTTCAGTATCAAAAGCAAGACATTTTGCATTATTCTGTGTTTGTCCCTTACAGTATGATAAATATTCAAGTAATAACACGACCCAGGCCTTTTCTTTTTCCTCCCATAAATTTAGTCTAATTCTTTCCTTGTTTTATTTTTATAACAATTATATTACTATTTTCTTTCATGTGGAAGTCCTGGAAGTCACTTGAGTCAGTTGATTGTAAGATGGCCTAACAGAGCAGACCTTGTTTAGCTGAACTATTTATTCATCATTTAAGCCATTTCATTTCCATGATCTTAATTTTCCCAAATATTAGCTTTCCACATCATGGCCTGTAAGCAGTCTAAGCCTATAGCTAAAGCACGGAGTGGAACCTTGAGAAAAGAATATAAAAGAGAAAATAAAACAAATCAACTTTTATTGTATTTATGCTTTCAAAACACAGGAGTATGGAGCATACTATATTTCGATGCTAATATGTACAGTCTGAGGGGGGAAAACATGAAGAAGGGGAATTGATGACGTTGATATAAGTTATATTATTTGAATGTCACATTTGAGTTTGGTGCTTTAGTTCAAAAATAAAATTATAATCTTATCACAGAGTTTTACTATATTAGAGAAACATTCATTTGAAAAGCTATATTATGATAAATATTTTTGCTTACTCCCCCAACTAGCTGGTGATGATTTTGTGGATCTTTTTCTTAAGATAGGGTACCTTTCACATTCTGGTCTCCTCTAGAGGTCGATTGATGAAGTCTTGAATAGCTTGATTTAAAGGAAGCCATTTCTTGATAGACGTTTTCAGAGCTGTAATCCAGCTGCAGAAATAACAGCACATGACAGGTCATTAAAAAATCATCGCACTCTAAGGAGGTGAAATGTTACAAAATCATTTCATTTATTTTCTAATTGTTTTTCTTGGTTGTTTAGCTTGAAATTAATAAGGTAAACAATGCTCCTTAGGGTTTGGATTGAACAAAAAGGTAAAACACCAAATGAGAAAAATGCAATTGTAGCTATGAAGTAAAACTATGTTATATAAGTAACAGGATCAGAAGAGGGTACAGTGTTTGTACATAGTGAATAAGGAAGCCATAGGGCTTTAAAAACTATTACTGTTTTTATTTAAATTTAAAGTTTAGTTGATCAAACATATAGCAATCAAATATTGCTGTTAGGGGAAATATTTCTTTGTTAGAGTCTGGAAATCACAGCACACTCTTTGGTTAACTTTCCCTTCCTTTCATTTTCTTGGATGATGTTTTATAAAATGTGCATATATAGCATTTGTTTTAAGGGTGGTTAATAGGGGATATTTTAAAAAATGGTTTGGGTCCGATAAACTTAGGTAATGGGAGTTAGGTAATGTTAACGAGGATTCTTTCCATCAGGGTGTCTTAGCAACATTAATAAGTTTATGTGCTCTGTGACCATCTAAGAGGGGAATATGATCTGTATCATTTCCTAAACTTACTTATTTTTGTGAGTGGGGTGTCTTGTGAAACCAGAGTTTCATGAACCTCTGTGTTTTGTGAAACTTTTGCTCTTATACTTTGAAATATTTCTGTAATGATTCTGTATTATTTCCTATCGATAATATACACTCTTGGATTTGGTAGTGAGATCCAGCTATTCAACTTCTTCTCTTAGAGAAGCCAGTGGATTTTATCAAATAGGAGTTAACGCTGTTCCACTGGCCCTTTTCCTATATTTGCCAGTTTGAGCTTCACCTTCAAGGGAACCATCTTAATCCACCACCCAGATTGTATAGCACAATCCCAAGGAAGAAGATCTTGGCCAAATATCTAGCAATTCTATATTCATTATCCTCTTGCTCTAGCCCATTCTTAGGAGTGAGTGAAACAGACAAGATGTGAATAATGGGAGAAGGTATAGGGAGATCCTTTCTACTTCCCCAAATGGCCACTTGCTGGAGATCCTGAAACTCTACTTTCAGAGTTTTATTTCTTTGGATTAAAACAGTGTATCTAGTTCTTGCAAATGTCTCTGGAAATTGTACCATATCATCTGTTTTAATAAATTACTATGGATTTTCTGTTAGATCATTTTTATTAGTTGGGAGAAAGTGTCCGTATGAGGTGAGGAATGGTCACCACGTGGTTGGAGGGCATTGGGTGTCTTGGGGATTGGAATTAGGACAGGGAGACTTGAGAGATGCAGGAGGATGCTCTAGGTTTTGTCTTTGTTAACTTTACTACTTTTTCATTATGAACCAAGTGCTCATTTGTACATGCCAAGTTGGATACTAAACATATCAAATGAGATGGATAAATCCCATGTCCTTTGATGGCTTATGACAAAACCAAAAAAAAAACCCTGATCAAATTCAGATGGACATATCAGTATGAATTATGTGAAAGGAGGTGAAACAGCAAATCTGTAAATTAGTAAATTACTACATCACAGATTATGCTATTACATTTTTTTATGTTGAAGCCTGAAATAGTCACTGCCTTGGGAAAAATTGTAAACTTTCGTTTGAAAATAATACTTCTAGAAGAGTCACCTTCTATGCATTGAAAGAAAAAGAATCCTGGGTAATATTAACTAGGACACTATGCAAAGAAAGGGAGTGATTTGACTTAAAATATGGAGTTGAAGTTGGAAAATAAGAATAAGGGCTTGCTATGAAGGCTGTCAGGACTGATAAAGGAGAAGTGTGCAGATCTTAACTTACCGTTGGTTTTCTGCTTTGTTTTCTGCACAGAAATAGAAAGTCTGGAAGTCTTCAGATGGAGGTGTGAGTTCAATCACTGATTGCTTGAAGCTAAGGGTCTGCTCGATCACCCTGTATCCTTGCAGATATAGGCCACCTGTAGAAGGTGAAAGAAAAAAAAAAGTGAGGAAAATAGGGAAAAAGTTAAGTTAGAGGAAAGGAGTCTGAAATGTTATCAAGAAAAAAAAAATTGCATCTGAAGGAGCCTCTAGTCCAGCTGTCCCATTTTACAGATGAAGAAACTGAGATTCTAAAAGAGTATGGAATTTAAGGTCATCCATTAATGATTAATGTCAAGACTGGTAATAAAGTTTGGATTTCATTTTTGCAGTCTCCTTACTATATGTTCAGTATTGAGCTTTGGTTTTACTGTGGGCCTACTAAGCTAGCTTCTTTACCTCGGGAACACATTTTGAAATAAATTTTTTGCTATCAAGGAGTGACACCTGCAATATCACATTAGAGGAAAGTGTAATAATATTTGCTGGGCAGAACCATTAAGGCTTCCTTTCTGAAGAACTATGGAGAATGTTAGCAGTTTCTACAACCAATACAGATGCTCACTTTCTCTGTGCATATTTAATGCAAAGCATATTTAAAATATGAACCCACAGGGTGATGTGAGGGAGCCAACTCGAATTAAAATGCAAGTAAATTATTGTGTGTTTTTTTAAAATTTCCTCCCCATGGTCCTTTGAATCTGTGTTAGTGGTTATATATTGCTTGGCCTGAATTTTCTTTCCAATATTTGGGGCTTTGGGGGAGGATATCAGCCTAGGAGAAGGTGCTGAAAAATCGAAATACTTGAGTGTTTTTTATGGTGTCTTTTTGCTCTGAGGAAACCTGCCTCTCATGCAGAGACTTCAGATAACACCATTAGCAGCGATGATGAGATGTTTAAACCTCTCTGTTGCTTTTACTAGCTCTTGTTCTCATGCCCCACCTCCCCATAGGAACCACTTTAGTGCACAGTACTAACAAAAATAGGACTTGGATTTTTGCTACTCTACACAGTAACTGTTTCATGCCCATGTGTTAATAAGGGACTGTCAAGGGAAAATCTGGCCCCTGTGAATATGGCTGACCTTTGCTTTCCTTTTGGTCAACCTGGTAACAACATACACTGTCAGGAAGTCATATACTTTCCTTTAAAATAGAACGAGTGGCTTTTGGACTTTAAAAATTAGGGGGAAACTTGTTTATTTTATAGGGGGATTTAGATGTAAAGTTTTTTAAAATTTTCATTTAAAGAGTCAGTTTTAGAACTACTAGGGAAACATTCATTTTAGAAATGGTTAGATTTTTTCCCCCCTTAAGTAGACCCCAGTAAAATGGTTTTTACTAAAATCAGAGAGTGACTTCTTTCTTTGCATTGTATGTATCAACTTTAGCTAGTTATAATTAACATATCATAAAATCCACCCATATAAAGTGTATAATCAGTGATTTTTAGTGTGTTTATGGAGTTGTATAACCATCATCACAATCTAATTTTATAACATTTTTATCTCCTCAAAAAGAAACTCCATACCCATTGGTAGTCACATCCCACCTGCTTGTCCAACCTAACCCTAGACCCCAGGCAATATTCTTTTGTGACTGGCTTCTTTCATTTAGTACGATGTCGTCAAGGTTCATCCCTGTTGTATCATGTGTCAGTACTTCATTCCTTTTTATTGTGTGGACATACCACATAATTGGGTTTGATGGACAATTGGATTTTCTTCAATTTTTCTGTTATGAATAATGTTGTTATGAATATTCATGTACAAATTTTTGCATAGACATATGTTTTGGGGGTATATAAGCAATGTGCTAGATGTTCCAGGACTGTACGGTACATAAAGACATATCAGAGAATAATTTTGCTGTCTTAATTTTCTGCTCCACACTATAGTACACAGCATTTATATGCTGCTGCACTGGTTTCTGACATCTTCCTGCTTGTGAGATTTCCTTTCTCATCTGTCTGCGCAGATATGACTACCCTCCCCTATCCCTCCCCTTTCTGAGAATGGAGAGAAGATATTGTCCAAATGTGTCTACTACAAGCAGGAAGGTTATCTGACCCCTTTTCTAACCAGTTATAATGTAAAAATGATTGGCAGTAAAGACATCCAATTACAACCCAATTCCCTCATTTGAGGTGACCTCATAGGGCTGGTCTCTATCTGTTCCTGGGTAGCAGAGTAAATAGTAAGCTGGCATAATTTTGGACGGAGATTTCTCATGGAACTGTGCAAGCATTATGTGTCCCATCTGCTGCAATAATGTAAAATGCGTATATCTTTTTGAGAAGGGCTCACAGACCTTGATGTGATTTATTAGAGAACCATAGTTAAAAGTCAAAATTTGTTACTTCTAGCTCTTGCTGGAGAGAGATAAAAGCGAAAAATATCAAGCGCATGATGAGTGACAGAGGCTTCGGGCCTGTGAAGGGGCACTTGACTAAAGGGCTCCTGGAAGCCTCACACGGTACCTTTTTAATATTAGCAGGCACGAGCAAGCCGGTAATCCATATTGTGAAAGTACCCGCACTTTCCTTGACAGTAAGGAAGGACTTCAGGGAACCGTTTGTGGCTATTTCTAACTCCCACAATACACATTAGAGGCATCTTTATCTAGCTGAAAGGAAAATGTGGGATCAGCTTCTAATGCGGTTTTTACAGGAAATCAGGGCCAGGTTGCTTCTCATATCCTGCTCTTTCTCCTCATTTCAGTGTTATTTTTTCTCTTCTTCCCTTTCTTGTCCTCAGTATTATCTCAGCATCTCAGATGACTGTTAAATGAAATAAGTCATGCTCAAAATACTACAGATACCTTCAGAGATGAGGAATGTCAAATGAGGTCTCCCAGATCTCTCATAGAGAACATAAATCAATGGAATAAAATAAATTTTAAAAAAAGGAAATAAAAATGAAACAGTAAAGCAACAAGGATGCTACAGCCAGGGGACCATGTCTTTACGAAGTGATGACCACAGAAGCCTGGGTCTTAATAACACAGCAACTAATGTGGTTGGCATATTATAAAGGTAACTGAAAGGAAAGAGCCTTTTTAAGTATGGTTCTGAATAGAAAACTGACTGAACAGGGATATATTCAGAGGCAGTGTTTTTGTATATTAATATTTTCCCAATTGTTTTACCTGTGAGAAAAACAGGCCTCTACATGTTTTTGTACATTTAGAATAAAAGTTTTATGAAACATTGTGGTATATCATATTATTTCCTATTCAATTAAATTCTATTCTATTTTTAAATACTAGTCCCAACTTACTACATTGATTGCATGACTCAGTAATGGGGTCAAAACCTGCAATTTGGTATAAATAGTAATCAAGGCCTAGTTCAAGGTTATGACCTTCACAGGGCTGGAGAACAAGGAATGTGGGATGTGCAAGAGCCAAGCAGAACTTGGACAATACAAGTAAAGGAGGAATTTTAGATTAGACCAGCACAAAGGTCTTTCACTTGGCATCACCTAGAAAAACTGAAAATGAATATTAAGACTGTATAATCTTCATGAATATAATAATGATTCACATTCCATGCATATAATATGATTGCTAAATTGAGTATTTGAGTGCCTGTAGTGTTTATGGCACATCATGGGTCCAGCCATTCTCAATAGCGTCTCTGCAGTCCTCACAACTCCTATGGCTCTTGTGATAAGCAGTGGGACTGGGTGGACCCTGGTCATTGCAGTCAGTGTGCTGATACCCAGAGCGCAGAGACCAGACAAACAGCACGACTGACTGAGTGCTACTTTAAGAAACCTAGTTTCTGTCCGTGAGTGGCTAAGAGTTTGGGCACAGGATTCAGGTAACATTTGATCCCATTTTGTCTCTGTTGCTTACTAGCTGGGCGACCATTGGATATTAGTTAACTTCTCTCGCCTTAGTTTCTCACTTGTCATGGTGCAAAAGCTGGATATTTTGCAAATATTAGTCTTAGATAATGAACATAGGTCCTTATCCAAGTCCTGGACACACAGGCAGCATCCACTAGTACCTGCTGACTTTCCCACTCCAATGCACCTGAGCAGTATGATCCCGTCCTCTGAAAAAAATGTGCTTAACCAGGGCAGTGATTCTTGGTGGACAGTGGTGATGGGGGGCATATTTATTTTGGGAGTTTCCCATAGGAGATGTGGCTGTGCATCTATCCTATCTTGGGTTTTATGGTGCCAGATCACTGGCTGTAAAAGTTGGGTTATGATTGAAGTTAAAATATACAAGAAGGTTGAGCAGGATTCCCAGAAATAGATTATAAACCTCAATTTAAAATTAAAATCTACAGAAGGGTAAAAGACTTTAGAAGAGTTTTGGCACAGCCCCCCCCCCCCC